TATCAATTTCAATATAAACCATGTTTTGAGGAGTAATAAAGGTATAAAATGGATTTACTTGTTTATGAGTGTAACTTGGCTTTTACTCATAATTGTTAATTTCATTTCAGTATCGATTGATACGCTTTAATTATGTCAAAATATGATACACTTAAATATATTTTTTGTACTAAATTTTGTACCTAATAATACCAATTGATGTCATTGGTTTCAACTAGTTTTGGTGAATTTCAATATATTAGCTTTTTCAACTAGTACTAAGTGTCAAACATATTTTGTAATTTTTAATTTATTTGTTGTTATTTGACTATTTTTAACATAATAAAAATAAATTAATTGACAAAATAACATTTAAAAGTTTAGTTTCTCTATTTTTTTTATTGTAACTTATTTTCTTTTATACTTTATTTTTGCAAATCAAAGTTTTATAAATTTTTAATCTCTTTCAATAAAGTAATCGTGCTCCCTTCTTAAAGTTTAACAATTGTGAAGCCAATGTTTTTTTTTTTTTCTCTTTTTTTTTTTATCTTAATATTTGCATAAAAATACTTATTTAAATATCACATAATTAAATTAAGTATTTAAAAATATCATGAAAAGATTATGATATTATTTTTATATTTTTAAACTTATTTTTTTATTTTTAAAAATATTGCATATATTATTTTGCTAATTGATAAATTCATGTATATTTATAAATATAGTTATACTAAATCAAAAAATCCAAAATAATTTACTAAAATCACTGGTATCAGTATATACTATATTTAAAAAAAAAAAAGAAACGTTATCTAGTATGGTATTAACAACTTTACTTTTACTTCTTTCTAACTTTTATCAATTCCTGTATCTTTTTCAATTTTTGATTCTAATAATAACAAATAAAATAAACTTAGACTTGAATTGGATGGTTTTCCTTATACTATTGTTTTTCGTTCTCAAATTCTAATTTAATGAATAATAACTTATTAAGCGTATGCGCACACACATACGTATTTATATGAAACCATGATTAAAATGAAAATATGATAATTTAAAATTTATGTTAAATTTTTAATCTTTAATAGATTTTGATTTAAATTTAAATAATTATATAACAATATTAAATAGAATTATTATGTAATTTATTAAGTATATATTTTTAGAACTGTAATTGAATTTAAAAAGAAAAGATAAATTATGATTTAATATATTTAAATTTAAAATTTATGCTAAATTTTTAATTTTTGATAGATTTTGATTTGAATTTAAATAATTATCCAAAAATATTAAATAGAATTATTTCGCAATTTATTAAGTATATATTTTTGGAATTGTGATTGAATTTAAAAATAAATTATGATTTAATATATTTGAATTCAAAATTTATGCAAAATTTTTATTATCAGATAAATTTTGATTTAAATTTAAATAATTAACCAAAATATTAAATTTAAATAATTTATTAAAAAAATTATTTGATAAATAAAATAATATAAGTATTATCCTATGTGTCATTAAAAGAGACTATTCACTTAGACATCGACATAAGAAATTTTATCATGTAATCTTGTATATTGCAATTTAATATATATTATAATATTTAAATATAATTAAATAAAAATTAAGATTAGGCTTATTAGATGGACATCTGTTCATTTTCTAACTTCACATTTAAAGTGTAAACATTGGACAAATATAGTGTTTTGTGAGAATGAAAAAAATTATGTTTGTGTTTAAAAAGTACAATGAAAAAAATGTGAGTAGAAATTTTAAGAGTTTTGTATTATATGCTGAAAAAATGTTTTGAGTAATCCAAATGTTTAACTAAATATGTATAAAATATTAAAATATTAAAATTATAGAATAATATAATGATTTTCTATATCAAATATATTTTTTGCAGTAAAATTTTTTGAGATTTTTTTATTTGGATTTGAAAATTAGATTTTTAAATTGTTTTCAAATCCAAAAATTATTTTTTTTTATTGTTTAGTAGATGTTGAGTAAAAATAACATTTGAAGACAAAAATGATTTTCAACAATAATGCTAAACTATACCAATATATTGATGGTGAACATATCATTTATAATTATATTAGTATAATGAACCGATTATAATTTAGTATTGTGTGAGATTCATAAAAAAATTGTATAAAATTTATACGCTTAAGTATATGACCCCTATATAATTATTGATTATAATTAATCAATTGTAATGTTATAATAAAAAGAATTCTAGATAATATGTATCCCTAAAATATTAATTCTTTAATATTAAGAATAATGGTAACTTTCTCTGATAATTTCAATGAATTTATTCTTATTATTTTTAAATTTTTATCAAATTCATATTAATAATTTTGTCAAAATAATAGTGATGACATAAACAAAATATACACTACATGTCGGACAAAAAATATTATTTTGCATTTAATATTTTTATTATAAAATACAGAAGTAAGCCATATCTTTTTAGGTTTGTCCAAATTTGATAAAAAAGTTACACTATTACAAACAATTTTTACTAGTATACGGTTTTCAAAATCTTAATTCAAAAAATATATAGGGTTTTAAAAAAAATACGATATTTAAAGTTTGTTTTTGTATTTTTAGAATATCTCGTGTTTCAATTCAGTCGTTTGATTAGAATAAATTTATGTATATTAATTCTTATATAATTACTATAATCTCTTTGACATATATGATGATAATTTTTTATTTTGTTTTATTAATAATAAATATCTAAAGATAAATGATGCATTTAGTAAAAAAATAAATAAATATTTTGTTTGATTGTTGTTTTTATTTATAAAATATCATTAATTAAAATATTTGACACTTTTTTGAATAAAAAAATTGATAGAAAAAATTATTAAAAAATTCAATTAATACGTTTACCATTTTTTTATATCATGAAAAAAATTAAAAACATTCCTTTAATTTATTTATAAAATGATCATTTAATGTGTTTTTGTATAAAAAATACCTTAAATAATTTTTTTTTGCACAAAAATATCTTAAATAATCTTTTTATTTTTTATATTATGAATCATTTAATAATTATTTTTTAATTTATAAAAATATTTTTTAAAGTGTTTTCTGTAAACGCCTTAAATAATACTTTTATAAAAAAGATTATTTAAACATAAATGATTATTTAATGTATTTTTTGGACAAAAATATCTTAAATAATCATTTTATAAAAATATTAACCTTAAACTACGAGTGTAAATGATACACTGTACTTACAAGTGACTCGATTCGATTTTTATAAAACTAAAATTCAACTTGAATATTATTAAGTCGAATTCAAACTCGAGTAGCTTGACTTATTGATTAAGTCAAGTTCGAGCATTCTTTTACATAGTTCGAAAAGCTCGCGAGCCTAATCGAATTTATATATTTTAATATATTTTAATTATTTTAATTAATAAAATATCTCAAACTCTTGCTTAAGTTTGAGTACAAATAATCGAGTTTTTATCAAATATAAAAATCAAGCTTATTTTTACATGTTAATCGAGTCTAATCGAGCGAGCTTGAGTAACTCAATTTTTATCTCGAGTGGAGTTTGAGTTAAAAAAATAAAACTCGATTGAGTTTTAGCTAAGTTTCAAACCTTAAATTTTAGGTTGAACTCGAGCTCAAACTTAATACTGCATCGACTCAAACTTGATCGATTACACATATATTCTAAATAGGGTTGACAATAGGTAAGGTCAGGGTGAATTTTTGCTCGCCTCGAACCCGACCCAACCCGATTTTTATATAAAATATACCTGACCCGATCCAACTCGAAATTAATAAAATATTAATTTTAAAATATAAATATATAAATATATATTAAAAATTTTAAAAATATTTTTTTATATAATATCGGGTTGGATCAAGTTTGCCTAAAACTCGAACTCGACCCGAACCTGAATTTTTCTTAATAAGTTTCAACCCGACCCGAAACTTGATTTAAAAAAAAAAAAATCGACCTTAAAAGATTGGGTCGGATCGGATCGAAATTCGCTAGTTACGGGTTGGGCTACAACCATAACTCTAAACCTTAAATCTTAAAATATAAAAAGATTATTTGAAAATTTTTTTGTACAAAACTCATTAAATAATCAATTTATAAAAATATAAAAAATTATTTAAAATATTTCTTCATGCCAAACTTAATTGCCATATAAATTTTTTTGTATAAAAACCTACAATTGAATTTCAATTACTTTCAAATATATTTTTCAAAAAAATAATAGATATTTCATCATTTTTTATTCAAATCAAATTTAAAAATAAATTTTTTTTAAATCTTAAAATATCACAGAAAGATATAAATTTTTTATTATAAAATTTTATGTACTATTAAAAATCTGATAATTTTATCAATTAATTAAATTATTTTAGATAAAACATGAATATCAAATATTTATCGTGAATATTTTAAGAGAAAATTTATGAATTCCTTTCAACTAAAAAACTTTTATAATAGTTATAAAATATTAAAATAAAAAATTCAAATAATCAATAAAAAAATCAATATAAACAACAAAAAAACCATGATCAATTTAATAAATATAAAACCTGATAATTCTTTTAATAGATAAGGTACAAAACATTATCCAGCCCCTAATTTTATTAACCAAAACTCAAAATAAATCCCACCTAAATAAACCAAAAATCCAAACATCTCAAAACTCAAAACTTTTTATTTTTATCACCAAAACCGCTGCTGCAAACACAGCTCGTCTTTCATATCCAAAATCCAGCAAACCTAAAATATTGTTAATATGTCATCACTCTAACTCTCTAGGTACTTTTACTACGGGATAGTGCAGATAAAGAATTAAAATTTATTGAACGAATTAAAATATGATTTTTGCATAAATAAAAATAGAAAAGAAATAGTGGAAAATTTACTATGTCAAGTAGATTATCCATTTCAAGAAAAAAAAAAATACCGTAGATTATAGGTTTTTTTTTAATTAAAAAATAAATTTAATTCCTTCAAAAAAATAAAAAAAGACATCAATGAAGTGAAAAATAGTAACCGATCGGATAAAGGGGACACACGTCCCGTGATTACCTCTCTTTGGTGGAACGTTAGACAACGACTAAACCAAAAGCGACAAACGGCACCGTTCTTTCACGGTTAACACACTTCCACACCACTCCCCAGTCCCTCGCCGACTCTGGTCCTCACAAATTCTAGAGAGAGAAAATAGATTCAAAAATATAGAGAGGGAAAGTGAAAGAGGTCTTTAAAGTAGGTTGAGAACTGAGAACCCATTTCTTCTTATGCTGATTCCGTTTTAAAGATTGAAAACTTTTTGTTAGAGAAAAGAGAAGTTTGACTGAGGTTCGATATTGTTGACTGATTGATTGATAGATCATCATCAATCAAACGGCTGAAAAAAGGTATTACTACTTATTTTCAACTTTTTCTTCTTTTTTTATCCGACATTTATACAACTGAGCTGTTGATCTCTCGTATTCTTCACTTCTTTTAGAAGGTGAATTTTCCGTTTTATTTTTAAATAATAATGAAAAACTTAGTTTTCAAGCTTGGCAGTTAATTTCCAAGATCTGTAGTGAATGAGGCTAAATTGGGCAGTAATTGTTGCAATTTATAATTAATGGACTTTAATGTGGACTGTTGCTTAATGGGAAGAATTTTTAGTTAATCCATTAATAAATATATGGAATTAAATTGCAGTTTTCTTTTTTTTTTTAAAGGTTGGTTTTTTTTTTTAAAATTTTTTTTTTACATGGAAACTTAGGATTCTTTTCGTTTTTTCTTTGGTTGCTATCTTATTGATGAGTGATGATTTGCGGGGAGTGTAAGAAATGAGAAGGTTGATGGGGAATGTATGGTTGTTTTACTTGACATTATCAAAGTGACACCGTCTTTTAAAGTAACCAAGTTCCTTGATTTCGAATCCAAGATTGAAAGGTTGATTATTAATGTCTTTGGATATTATTAATATGCTGAAAATGGTAGTATCCCCTCCCCCTTTTCAGTTCCTTTTTTAAGAATTACTTCTCTGAGACCCATTTTTTCCTATATCTGATGCCTCCAAGTCGAGAGTTAGCGAAATTAGGGTTTAAGTTGATTGTTGTCATGGAATTTACTCATGCCATGCGTGTGGGCAGTATAAAATTGAGGCAAATACTTTTTGGAATTTATTCATCTTTTAATTCAAAATTGAGGCTATATATCTTGGTTTTGTGATCTTCATATGCTTACAGGTAATCTTAGTCAAATTTCAGACGCATTGAAAGTAATGGCTTGCATCTTCGTTTCCTATGCTTTATGACTCTACTTGATTGAAGATTGTGGATGGAAATTAACTAGGTAACCGATTAAGGTATACCATTGGCTAGCCATGTTGTTATTGCTGCTTTTGTGATTTATGCATTTAATAATTTATGTATTATTGATAATATGGTGTCTTTCATATGTAGAGAATGTATATTGTCCCATTGGCATTTACTTTAGAAGTGAGAACTCATTATTTTTTTACAGATATGGTGTTCAATGTGTGAAGAATTTCACCTTTAATAGCTCATGAAAAAGAATATTCCTTTTCTTCTAATGCTGGTTATGACCTAATTTCACTCAATGATATCCTTTCTTTTCTGGTTATAATGGAGTTTCATTCAAAGTAATATCCATTTTGACTAATATGATAGATCACGCTGGTCATATTCTTAATGTTATTCTTTTTTTTTTTTTTTTTCAATTAAATATCTCAACTCTTGTTACATTGATTCTTGGACATGTATCGTATCAGCTAGATACTTTCATATTGAATAAGATAGGTAGGAAGTATTATCAGGCCAATTGTTTGCCCTCTTGTTTAGTATTCATTTAAGTTTTCTGTTTCTCTAGAGTTTGAGAAGCATCATATCAATGAGTGCAACTTCAAGATTGATTTACCAAACATTTTCTCTTGCAGGTCTGCGAGTATCTAGTTGAGTTGTCATTGTTGGTGCCATGGGTGTCTCAGGAAAATGGATCAAAGCTCTGGTAGGCTTGAAGAAATCAGAAAAGTCACAATCTTCAGAGAAAGAAGAAAATGTCAGTATGAATATCGCTATATATTTTTTTACATTTTTCCTTCTGGAGGTTTAGATTTGGGTATGTTGTGCATCATTTCATGTGTGCCTTTTCAAAATGCTGAATTGTGACCTGTTGTCTCAAAGTCTTCATATCATGTTCACTTTAAGTAAGTTGTTTATGTTGTGGAGTAATGCCTTTTTCCTGGACTTAGGGCCTTGTTGAGTTGTTGACTATTCTGGTATGAAGGATAAAGAGGCTTATGTGGTAACTTACATGCAATAGCTATCCTTGTTAGCCAAATCAAGATATGATTTCTACTCTCTTCATCCATACTAGTTGATGATGTTATATGTCATTATCAGATTAATTGCATAATTTATGATGCTTATTTTCATTTAACCAGTCTTATTGTAGCTTGCTAGCTTGTAGAGAGCAAACATGAGTTGATAGCTGTCTCATAGTTGGACTTTTTCCTTCAAACCTTACTGTAAAGCATTGTCTAGTTTAATTGATAGTGATTAAAATTTGGGTGTTTATCTAACTTTGCTTGTATAATTTCAATATCAAATATCCATAGGAAAAAAAAAAGTTTAGCTATAGTTGAAAAACAATTACAATGGCCATTGCATAATAAAATGTTCCTATTTGCAATTTCATTGTCATGAAAATAGCGATTCTCTTTATGTCAATGACACCATGGTGGTGAAGTTCTCAACATTTGTGCACTTTAGAATATCCTTTATTTTTTGTTTTTTAAATTTTGGAACATTACTAAGTTAGCATGCTCTGATGGGATTGACTGCCAAAGTAGAATACCATTTGATCATGTTTGTAGTTCAATATTTTGGTCTTGGTTGTGACAGAGGGCAGCTGCTAGCAAATTTCGTCACCAAAGAAAGCATTCTGTTGAGTTTGACACAAATACACTTCCAGAAGAGTTGGATCAGAATGCTGCTTCACCAGCCAGAGACGCTAATACTCGTGCAACTGCAGATGTTGCTGCCTCTCCCTCTGGTTTACTTGAAGTGCATGATGCACCTCTTAATGAACATGCAAAGGAAGAATGGGCTGCCACGAGGATACAAACGGCTTTCCGAGGATTTCTGGTACCAGTTCCACTTTTTCATCTTTTATCCTTGTCAAATGAGAATTTGAAATACTTTCTGTACCAAGTTGTTTAGGATGGTTTTACTTGCATAAAGTTTGAGGCAATAGTTGTAGTTTTGATGTAACCTCTTGAATAGGTCTAGACCTGCTTCTAGGATAAATTAAAAAATGTCTTTGAAAAGTTGAAGATATTATTTTATTTGGAAAATGAATAACCTAGGATTTCCCAAAAAGAAATAAGGGGCAAAAAAATGGGTTGGAGGGAGTAGATTCTTTGACGATCTGCAAATACATGCATGATAACTAACACTCATTTGTACATGTGTATTTTATGCATCGTATGTGTTTGCCTTTATGTGTCTTGTCTATGCTTGTATGTATAAGGTGGTAATCACATATGCTTATTTATGACATACTTATTTCATGTCAAATGTCATCATGTTTTGATCAAATCATAAACTGAAAACAGTCTACCTTCCAACTGCGTAGCATATAAGTTTATTCATAACAAGGGAGGCCAAGCTTGTAATCATTTGTCTTGGGTCTGAACTATGGTTAAATAAGTAAATTAACTTTGTAATTCTCTGACTCAGAATCGAAATATATTATATTTGAACATCAGGCTAGAAGAGCACTGAGAGCATTAAAAGGATTGGTAAGACTGCAGGCCCTTGTCAGGGGTCATGCTGTAAGAAAACAAGCTGCAATAACTCTTCGCTGCATGCAAGCTTTGGTGAGAGTTCAGGCTCGTGTAAGAGCAAGGCGTGTTCGACTGGCATTAGAAAGTCAAACTGCACAACAGAAACTTCAGCAACAACTTGCAAATAGGGCTCATGGTAAAGAAATAGAGGTGAGAAACGTTAAATTCTTTAATTCAGATAAATTGACACAAATATTTGCACGAACACACACACATGAAATAGAGGTGAGTTCATGCATGCATTCGGGCATGCTTTTTGTGAGTGTGTCTGGAGTCATACATGCACTTGGTTAGGTAGGTATAAATTTGTCTTTATTTTAATATTGAAATGTTAGGATTGTGATGTGGCATCATATTGTCCCACCTTGTAAAGTTGATGAATTATTTTACTCGTGAGAGTCAAATCTCTTTTGGAATGTAATTGACTACAAACAATGATCTGCAACATTTAAAATATCTCAAGAGTGATGATAGAATTTCAATGCAGGGGTGCTATATTTGGTTACCTAGTTGAGACTTTAGAATGTGGTTGGTGATGATGCAACTCTCTATTGGACCATCCTAAGTGTAGCATGTGGATTCAAATGTGTGCGGAATTCAAATCTGTTTGGAGGGTGCTAAGTTTCCTTGATTGAGAATATTACACAATGCAAATGTTTCCAGAATTCTTAGTGGAATAAGATTTATATGACGGATAAACTGTAGGCTGGAGATTCCTCCTAAGACTTTCCCTTTTAGGTAATGGTCCCAGGAAAGTGGCTATACCGCCAATATGGGTGGAGCAAAAATCATTGTTTTCTCCTTGTAGTTATACCCACAATATAGGGATCCTTTTAGTAGTGGATTTTATTATACTCTCCCACTTACTTTTTTGTTTCGGTGCTAAGGTAAACTGATTGAGAGTGGTGATGTGGGTGGAACCGGTTATCTAGAGGTGGAACTAAGTTTTTGTTTGCTTTTTTGGATATAGGTGATTTATTATGTCTCTTGTTAACTAGTGTTATATCTCACATAACATAAGTTTGGTTTTGTGGCCTTATATTCAAAATTGGTTTTTAGGTTGGATGCCTTAAACATCTGCATGTGTTGAGTTTCTCTGCCATTCCATACTTTGTGAGTGGGTAGTGTTGCTTACTGCTACCATGGCTTTTCACCTGTCAACTACTAGATTTACTTCTCTTTTTCTGTGCCATCCAATCCAACAGATATTTACAAACATGGTATGCATACAAATTGATAATCCTTGCTGGATAGTGTAAATTGTATGTTGATACTTTTGTTAACTGAATTACATCATATTTTGGTAAAACAAATGATCACAGAAATTCAAATCTGGTCATCCATCCTTTTCTCATATAATTGAAGCATAGATGTTGGTAGGTTTGCTGAGTGCTTCATATGACTTCTGCCTAAATGCAGGAAGGGTGGTGCGATAGTATAGGATCTGTTGAAGAAATTCAAGCCAAGTTACTAAAGAGGCAGGAGGCTGCTGCTAAACGTGAGAGAGCCATGGCGTATGCTCTGGCTCATCAGGTAAGAAATGATGACAGTATTATAATTTATAAAGCTGCAAATTTGTAATCAAATGAAGTCTATGTTACTTTAAGGAATGAAATTCTGCCCCTCAAAGCAATACTCAGATTGAGTGAGTGAGTTTTCAATGTCATCATCCATTTCAATTAATTTGAATTGTACTCTACCAGTTGAGTTAAAATGGTAAAAGGGAGAGCTTTTAATATGCTCAAGCAGTCAAGCATGCTTTTATTGAAGTTGGAGATTGGAGTTTTTGGATAAGTCCTGAAACCTTCTAATTAACAACTCTTGATTATTTTTCCCACTATTGAAGTGAATTCTTTCCACTTCTTAGCATCTGCTATTACTACTATATGTGTCTGGTTCCTTTATTCAATAACAGCATGTCATTTTTCGCTTCAATGTTGTGGATATATTATTTATTCAAGAACTCATCCAAAGTATAGTGTCCTGGAATGCTTTAAAAAAAAGGAAGCAAGCCCAGTGTAAATTCTGTTTTTGTTGATAAAAAGAGAAAATATAGAAAGAGAGAAAGGGTTATGGATACTTAGGCTCTCTTATTTGGTGGTTTTGCTATTTTGATTTTGTTGTTTACTTTTGGCATCCTTAAAAGTTGCTAGAAAATAAAAGCAAAAAATGTAAAAGAAAATTATATTTCGTTCGTTATGAGCAAATGGCTAAAAAAATTGAATGACAATTCAAACAGAATCCATAATGAAGTAAAATCATGCATTTTATCTATGAATGCTCAATTTATAACTTTTAGTTACATTGAATATTTGTTTAATTCTTTCCTATTGATGGATCTTGACCTGCAGTTCCATGCAGCTGTGGGGAAACTGTACTAATATTTTGTATCATTTTCATTCTTGCATTCTTATAGACTTTCTTTTTTCTTAATGTTCGGGAGGGTTGATTGTCTGTCATTAACGTTTCAGTTTGCTCTTGGTAAATTTTGTTACCTGGTCAATATTTCCTCTGTCTGAGCCCTTGTTATTAGCATCAACCTTCTGTGACAATCAATGTTGGATGCCAAAATCTTGCATCAAAACTGCTGAAATCATACCAATCACCTGTTTCTATGGTTGCCTGATTGTACTGTTGCCTTAGAATCATTTCAATAACTGGTCTCATTAGAGGTGGGGTTTATGTTTAAGAGTTAATATCTGTTCGTGCAGTGGCAGGCAGGATCAAGACAGCAGCCTGTGCCTGCTGGGTTTGAACCAGATAAAAGCAGCTGGGGTTGGAACTGGTTGGAGAGATGGATGGCTGTACGTCCATGGGAGAACCGTTTTGTTGACATTAATCTTCGAGATGGAGTAATGATACGTGAGAATGGTCCTACAGAGGGAAAGAATGGTTGCAATTCTCAGATAAAACCTACTTTCAAGAAACCAGCTGCATCGAGTCTTCATGCTAACCTATCAAGTCAAAAAACAGGTCCATCACATTCTGATGGGAGTGATTCTCCACATGGTAAGTCAGCCAGTGTGCTAGAAGCAGACAACGCATTGTCTTCCAAGCCAACATCCAAACCGAATCAAGAAGATTTGACTGACAAAGCTGGCTCAAGACCTGTTCTTACTTCAAGATCTCACAGCAATCCTAAAGAGAGGTCTATACAATCAGATAAACAGGCAAAGAAGCGATTGTCTCTGCCTAACAGTGGTAAGCTTTCTGTCTGTTGATCCAAAAGTATATAGTTATTCACCTTGATGTTAACCTATTCTACTGGAGAATATAGTGGATTCAAAATTCGGTCATGCTAGTCTGTCGCCTATAGAATGCGCATTAATTTTTTGCTTCTGATCCTTTTACATTAACATTACCTTTCTGGTTTAAGCTGCTTTTGTCAAAAGATATTATGATGCAATAAGGTTGCTCTGACATATTATTCCCTGAAGCTCAATGGCCATCTCTGTTCTTCATTCTTCTCTGTATATTGCCAATATTAGGTTGACAGGTTGGACAATGCACCATGATGGGGTCCCTCTTGCCTTTATTATGCATTTTGCTAAATTTTTTTGTTTCAATGGTATGATTTGAGCAGGGCGAGGTACCGGGTCTCAGACAACCAAGCCTGGCAGAACTGCTACGAAAGTGACACCAGCCGCTCACAAGCCAACAAAGGATATCTCCAAGTTTAATGGACGAGGGGACTCAAATTCTAAAAATGCTGTGGCACTGGCTGTTGATTCGTAAGGAAGTATTTGTTAAGTAAAACCTGTTCTGGCTACCATCCGCTCGGGCCCTGTTGTTTTAGTATGTATATATGGAATTGCAGCTCGAGAATGTAATGGCATTGTTTATTTTCCCATCATAGAATTGAGGAGTGGTTTGCCCGTGGTGGGAGTGGTTGCTCCATGGCAGAGTTGATGAGATCGGCTTGGCTTGCCACGGGAATAAGATGAGTATATTTCATGTGTTGATGTAATCAGCTGTGATTAATGTCGTCAATTATGTCGTATTTTTTTCCAAGTGTCAGTATATTTAGTAGTAAAATGTCCAGGGAATTTCATATTTGTCTATGCTTTAGAAACCTATAGCACAATGCATGCAAATAGATTGTAGATATTAAAATTTGATTTTACATTTGTTGAATATCAATGTAAAAGTAATTGGATGAATTAATTGGATTAAGTCTCATATTTAATTAAGCAATACCCTTTTGTGACAAGGGTTGAAGGTTTTTGTCAATGCCTTGGTAATGCCGATTAGCCCGTTATACTTTAGTTAGGTGGATATACAGCACAAGTTTTATACCAATTACCAACTCTAGCCATAAGTACGTTTCATGGTTAGAACTTTGTTAAAAATACTAAATGTTTAAGCGATAGAACTTTCATTATTTCATCTCATTATCCAAACGAAAACTGTCATTTTTATATGATTTTTCGTTTGGTATGATGGAAAAGAAAAGATAGAGAAAATGAAGAAATAAATGTTTTAATCTAATGGTTGAATTATAAAATTTTAAGTGAGTCCGACCAAATATGAGTTTCATCAAATTATATATATATATATATATTTATATTTATTAGTTTTTTTATATATTTATATTAAAGGTTTTTTAAATATGATTGTAATTATTAATAATATGTACAATTTTATACCAATTTTTTTTTTGTACATTCTGATCTAATCTTCTCATCTTATTCTTTTAGTTTCAATTAAAGAAAAAAGGCATTGAACGAATCATTTTCAATAGGCTTAGCAATTCGTGTCATATTTTGTGTCATATTTGACATAGGTAATAATATGAATTATTAAAATACGAATATGATATAAATTATAAAATGTGTTTAAATCTTAAATATTAATACAATACATTTAATATATATGTTACATGTGATACAATATGATTAACACGTATATAGTTAATTTATTTAAACACAACACGAATAAACACGTATAATACAAATATGCAAAAATAAATATGATTAATATGAATATGTACGAATAATCATGACTAACAAAAATATTTATAGGAACACAACTAAAATAATAAATAAGTATAAATTATTCATCATTTACAACTTAATAAATTTAACATATTAATAATATAAAAAGTACTTATATATTAAAAAATAAAAAATTTAATACTCGTTTAATATGTATTTAATATATATTTAAATTTTAATTTATATTACATAACTATATTAATTTTTAATATCAAATTCAAAATAATAAATTATCATAGATTAAAGAATAAAATAATAATATATAGAACTAATATTAATATTTATATTGTATTTATATTATTAATATAAAATTTAGTTTTATAATAATTATTAAATGAGTATCATAATTAAATGTTTAAAATAATTTTTATATAAAATTAAATACTAATTAAGTATCATAATAAAAGATTAAAAATTAAAATAATCTTTATATGTTTATATTAAATTAAATAAATATAAAAAATGTGTTGAACATGTTAAATGTATTAACGTGTTATCGCATAATAAAATAAAATTAAAAGTATTATTTGTATCGCGTAATGTGTTTAGACAAGTTAACATATATACGACATAAATTTTATTATGTTAAAATTTATATCGACATGAATAAATACGAAATATATTTTTTTAAACACATAATTTTTTTGTATTATTTTCATATCGTATCATTGTATTATATTTGAAATTATTAGATCTAATTTTTATATAATGATTATGATGATAATAATGCATTATTTATTTATTTATTTATTTAAATTGCATTATTATGTAAAAAAATTAGGACAAAAAGTTTAGGCAAGGAGATGGTGACATATTAGCAAGGGATGTGTTTAGTTGTGTGCTAAGAAAGCCGCCATTTTAATTGGAGTAATTAAAGGCCGAATCCACCAACTTGCAACTTTAAGATTCAAATTGAGACCATATAATTCACCTAATACCCTGTAATAAAATATTAATTAAAAACCAAGCAATAGGTGTAAACCTACCTAGTTTCTTAAATTAATGCTAGAAATGAACTTAGCCTACATAGATTGAAAAATAAAATCCTTGTTCTTGGGTACACCTCCCAATTTTGCTTCTTTTCAAAATAAATAAATAAATAAATAATAAAATTTTCATACCCTAATTTTATTTTATTATTTCTTCTAAATACAAAAAAAAATCTTAAAAAAAAGATGTAAATTAATCTGTACAAATGAATTTTGATATATGCATAATTTATTTATTTATTTAATTAACAAATTTTAAAATATTATTTATGATCATTTATGAGATAAATATATATTAAATTTGTTCATAAATTATTGTTTTTATACTTTATTTATTTACATTTTTTTAATTAAAAAATTGGACATTAGCACATATTATTTTATTCATAATTTATTTGTTTAATTAATAAATTTTTAAAATTTATTTGTGATTATTTATTAAATTTAATTAATATAAACAAATATAAATCCAACTTATTGACAAAATGTTGATCGAAGATTATGTTAATTAATATTCTACTATAAAGAAGTAAAGCGAACTTCCCGGGCAAATCTTTTTCTATATAGCTGTAGATTCTAAGCCTCTAACTGTAAGCAGTAGCTCCAGCAAAGTCAAAAATCCTTCGCCTCATTTAGTTATAACGCCGTTTAGTCCTTAACTACACCCCCCTAAATGTCCATAGAACTCCACCAAAATTACACTTTTATCCTCTTCACGGCTCCGCCCCCACTCTTTTTCCTCAAAATTTCCCCATCTGCACCGCTCTCCCAAAAGAAGGAAAAACAAATTTCTTCAGAATTTAAAAGCTAAACAAAATCAAAAACCAACCTAAAATTCCCATTCCCAAACCCCAAACCCAAATTTCAATAAAAAAAAATCCACCATAGCTTCTTCAAAGCTGAAATCTTTCAACATTTCTTCTTCTTTTTCTTCTTCTTCTTCTTCTTCTTCCCATCTTTTCACAATTCCACTCTCACTCCAAAGCTGTATAAGACACCCACCTTTCCCTCCCAATTCGTTCCGTTTCCTCCCTTCTTCGATGTTCTCCACGCCTTTCATTCTCTCCTTTTCTCTTCTCCTTTCCCTCCCAATCCTTTTCATCCTCTTAGCCCCAACTTTCCATCCCCATCCTCTCCCTCCCATCTCCGTCACCGACGAACTCGACGATCTCCGTCTCTTCCACCGCGCCACTACGCCTTCCTCCGCCTCCTCCCACCTCTCCTCCTCTTCCTCTTCCCCCAAAATCGCTTTCCTTTTCTTAACCAACACCGACCTCCATTTCATCCCTCTTTGGAACCGTTTCTTCCAAACGGCAAAAACTTCCCGTTACAACATCTACGTCCACGCTGACCCCACCGTCAACATAACTCACCCTACCGGCACCGTTTTCGATGAACGTTTTATCCCTAGCGCCAAGCGCACTTTCCGCGCTTCCGCGACTCTAATCTCCGCCACCCGCCGCCTCCTCGCCACCGCCATCCTCGACGATCCCGCCAATGCTTACTTCGCCGTCCTCTCCCAATACTGCATCCCTCTCCATTCCTTCAATTACATCTACCGCTCCCTCTTCATCTCCATAAACTTCGATCTCACCTCCAACTCATCCGACTTAACTCAGTACGGTGTCCGAATCAAGTACAAATCGTTTGTCGAGATCATTTCCAAGGAACCCAGATTGTGGAAACGGTACGTAGCGCGTGGCCGTTTCGTGATGATGCCGGAAGTGCCGTTCGAGGAGTTCAGAGTTGGATCGCAGTTCTTTGTGTTGACTCGGAAACACGCGTTGTTGGTGGTAAAAGATCGGACGCTTTGGAGGAAATTTAAGTTACCTTGTTATCGAGCCGACGAGTGTTACCCGGAAGAGCATTATTTTCCGACTTTGTTATCAATGCAAGATCCAAATGGAGTGACTCATTATACTTTAACTCGGGTTAATTGGACTGGAACTGTTGCGGGTCACCCCTATATGTATAAGCCGAAAGAAGTGTCAGCTAATTTGATTTATGAGTTGAGGAAGTCGAATTACTCTAGTTCTTACTTGTTTGCTAGGAAGTTCTCGCCGGATTGTTTGAGACCCTTGATGGGTATTGCTGATTCGGTCGTTTTTAGAGATTGAGATTGTTCCTGGTAAGTAAAAGCCTTCTTTTTTATGATTTTTTTTTTTTTGTGAATATTAACCAGGTGGTGGGTGAGTTTACTCAGCGAGTTGGGTTATGGGGATGGGTGCAGTGGTTGGTTTGGGTGTTAGTAGAAGAAATCTGAGTCAATTTGAAATCTTATTGGATGATTTGCTTGAATTTGGAAATTAGAATCTTTTGAGGCAGATTTTTTAACCGGACCCGTTCTTAAAGGAATCGTTCTTACTTCATAGTTACTTCATAGAAGTTCTTTCCTCTCAAGAATTTGATCTGGAGAGTCTTGTTAAAAGAAAATTGATTTGATCAAATGGAAGATTTTGATTTAACTCACATTGGAAGATGATGAACAATTGTTTTTCGGGGAGATCTTGGTTGCATGAAGTTTTGAAAATGGGGTGGTTCTGTTATTCATTGTTTGTTCTTTGTTTATTTTTCATGAATTCAGCATTGCTCTTCTGGTTTCGACTTACTTATTGAGAAGCTTAGAGTGCATTTAGCTTGGTTTATTCAATCATTTGTATCTGAAATTTGTTCAAACATAATGCTCATATGCCTTCTGAATGTATTTCAAACTGAAAAGAAGAAAGAATCCCTATTTTTGAAATCAGTCAAATCCAAAAATATCTTGATTCTTACCTTATGTTATGGTGAGGAATTGCTCCTAAACTTTGTGAAGAGTTAGGTCTAAGAAGATGAACCTAATTCTCCAGTCATTGTTGTCCTATTAGCCATTTCATGCAAAGTATGTAATAACATATTGTTTAATGTCCGCCATTGGTGTACTTTTACTTGATAACCTAATGTTTAACCAGATTAGTCTTTTGAACACGACAATAATCTAAATGAATGACATATGGCCAAATTTTAAGTTAAAAAATTTGACTGATTTATAGTGAAGGAGTAATTCATGCAAGATTTGCATAATTATTCTTTAGTGCAATTTTAGCTTTAGAACTGCAGTGTGTTGGGATGTGCACAATAGCAGATCTGAGAATGACCGGAAAGAGTAAAGATCATAAGAAGCTTTGTAGCGGAAGATAGAGATTTAGATATCAACCATTTTAGTAAGATGAGGTCTTTTTGAATATGTATAATCAAGTTAGGAAGAAGTGAGTTTTTGTCTACTCTGAACTCTGATCCTTTGGTTTTTCTTGACATTTAGATCAATGCCCCTTGCGACCGGCCCCCTCCACCCTCCCTCTTATTTCAGAGTTAATATTAATCAACCTTTGCAATATGGGTTTTGCAAAGCTTATACATTGCCTTGTTTCTCTACTTTGGTGGGAGAAGTATTTGTATTTGTATGTCTATGTGTCTGGCTGGGGTTACTCATATTGATTCTTCTTCATGCCTTGTGATTTGAATGCTTGAATGTATTGCATCTGTGCAAGGATTTCAATCTGCTAGTGAGTTTCCGCGATAATTGCAGGGATTTCTGTAGTTTTAGCAAGGAAGAAGTCTAAGGAAAAAACAAAAGAAAAAAAAAGGGAAGGGGGAAGCTGATTTAGTCCTTGGTTTTCCTTTTTCTTTGGATTTACAGAATCTTTTGGTGTTAGATTCCTAGTTTTGAGGGTTTCTTTCATATGTTGTGTCCCAAAAAAACAAAATTAAAGTGTAATATTCCTCTCTAGAAATACAATAATTTTTATACAGATTTTGTGTTTTCAAGCATGAACTGACTGTGCTCTAATTTTCACAGGTTAAAAGAGCTTTTATTTTGGGAGGAACTAGCTTGGAGCAGAATTTGAAGGGGAATATGGTTTTTGAAGGGCATAAAGTGTCCACAACCAAGCAAACCCCAAAAGCTTCAACTTCTTTAGAAACATAAAAGGGATAAAAAATTTGTTACTTCAAAAAAAAAGGCAGCAAAAGGCTAAAAGGCTGCTGCTTTTGTTAAAGATGTAATTTGATGGTGTAACAGTAGCCAATAGCAGCATTAGATTTTTGTCATTTTCTTGTGTGATTTGTACATATTATGTATGAAATACAATACAATGAAATTCGATTTCTGTGTTCCTTTTTGCCAGGAAAAAAAGTGGCAAAGCAATTTTGGGAAAAGAAAGTGATGGGATTGGATTGAAGAGAATGAAAGGCGCTGGGCTAAATTTTGCCACCTCAATCACCTTTTCTTTTAAAAAAATTTGGATCAATCCTTTTATCTTTTTCATTTCTATTTGGTCATTTTATTACTATCACTGTTTCTATTACTTCTATAACCTGTTGCTCTTTTAAGAAAGTTTCCAAAGGCAATCGTGTTACTTTCAAATGGGCATAAACTTTGCAACCATGATTTGGTTGCATGGTGAGTGCCTTTCATCACATCGTGGTTATGTTCTATGATTGAATTTTTAACATTATGTTGGAGTTGCGATTTATGATTGGATCTTTGACACTCGACAAGAAATTATTTTCTGAAATGACAATTTCAGGTCTTACATAAAAAATATATCCCTACATTGAAGAAATATCAGAAGAAGGCAAGTTGTTAGGTTGTCTCATGTTTATTTTTTGGCTGAATGATGGAAGAAATTCCATGACTATGAGCTGGTTTGCCGACAATTGATGGTGTGCATGGTTAGATTATTGCATCACATGGAATAAGTTAAATAGGTTGCCGTTGGGTTGGCTAACAACAACCAAGGTTGTGATGCGCATGCCCGATGTTACTTAGTCTCCCACCCTCATTGTATTAGTTTTGACATTTCATTCTCAATAATACATTCTCGTAAGTACTTTTGTACCCTTGTTATTTGGCTGATGGTTGGCCATCTATATGCCACTGGAAAGGTTACATTAGTAAATTTGCTATAGTAATTAAGAGCAAAACCTTTTTTTTTTACTTGTTTTGACCCCCCTTTTCAAATTTTCAAATATTATTTAAAACAACCGTATTTTCTAATTGTTTCATAAATTTAGATTTAAATCGCAATCAAAGATGACGAGAAATATTTAATTCAATGATAAGTATTGTTTACATGTTTTTTTCCATTTAAAAATAGATTCCTGCCCTAAATCAAAACCATTTTAACTTATAAGGTTGTGTAAATAATATATACATATTATATTAAATGAACAATTGGAGAATAGATTAAATTGTTAAAAACAACACTATATGATCATCATTTTGTTAAATGTAATGCTTAGCTTTAGCTTAAGAAATTATGAGTTGGCAATGGTTAAGTGTCCATGTGAACTCTGGTTATATAAAATATATTTAGATTATTCTTTCAAATCTATAAACATGGAAGACTTGTATCATTGACTGTTCTGATACCGTTGGATGTTAGATATTTGACTTTAATTACTTTACATTCCTCTCATTTGGGTTATAAATTGTCTAATTTTTCCTTATCTTCTTTCATATTTATCCTTTTCTTTATTTTCCATCAAGGCTAATTTTTTTTTTTGTTATTAAAATCGTAAAAATTTAAACTTTAATCATTGAAATTAAAAATTTAATATTTTATCAATAAATCACATGATTGTTAACAAAACTAAACTCATCTTAAGCAATGAGATTACATCAACAACACACCATATAAGAACATGGAGGTTTGGCTCAAGCTGGGTCTCAATTTCAAAACACAAGTGTAGTCAAATACTTGGAATTTGTCTATGGCCTAAGTGACATATTGTTAAAAAAAAAAAAAAAAAACTATTTTCCTACTAAATATATATATTGTAAAAATATATTTACTAGTTCAATAAATTTTACAATTTTCCCCAAATTTTTTGTTCAAAGAAAATATTTTTAAGTTATAGGATTTTTCTTTGTTGCAAATTTCCTTTGATTTTGACTTTGGGGGGTTACTAAGTTGAATGAAATGTGACTTATGCGTCAACGTGACTATAATTTTGCTTTGGAAATATCTTTGACAAATATCATTTCTCATGGTAAGGAAAGTGTTTACACCGTTGAGGGATAAAACTCTAAAATTATAAGAATGAGAAAGAAAATCGTTAAGAGTAAAGGTAAATATTATTTTTTGCATTTGCATTTTAATATTTAAATAAAAAATCGATTATAAAATATTAAAAGAAAAATAAAAAAATAAAAAAATTATTAAATAATACATGAATGATCTTATTTATAGATAAAATATGAAAGATCTGTTTGACACGTAGTTAAACTGTCGTGACATTGTATAAATCAAGTCGGTCCAAAAATAAAAAATATATTAAATTATTTGTTGATAGTTTCTAATGAAAAAAAATTATTTTACACTTTGAAGCAAAAGATACTCTTAATAGAAAGAATGCAAAATTTTCTGTCTTTTCTTTTCTTTTCCATTTTTCTTCTTTGTGAAAATCAAAAGCATTTGACCATTTTTTTTTTTTTTCAAAATGGAGTTCAAGTGTTCAAAGTTTAATTTTAGATAAGAGCATGTGTGGTCATCTTCCAAGTCCTTTTGAAGTTGAACAACATTGCAATTTCATACGGTTGAAAATTTCAAATGGGTTTTATTTTTGGGCCATCACATTCCGTTGACCCAACTTCGCATTTCCGTTAAACACTCTATTTATTCATCAACCTTATATAAATATATAAAAACCAAAATTTTTAGCATAAAAAAAATTCTTATGTGGATAGATTACATTTTTGACATGTAGAGTGTCATAGGTAAATGCCAATGTGTTATATAATTAATGAATTTGATTATATAATTAATTTTAAAATAATTTATTATAGTTTAATTAATTATATTTAAATATCAATATTCTTGTCACTTATAAATTAGTTATAAGTAATTTGATCATTAATTCAAAAAATCAAAATTTAAATAGAAAGCTAATAAATCATAAATAATTTTGCATATTTACTAATCGTTATTTATGATTATATAAACTTATTAATTTGCTAGAACAATATACACACACAAAAGATAACTTCAATATATTAACTTGAAAAAAAAAAAAAAAACGAAATAAGTCTATGTATATAGGGAATTTTTAATGCAATAATAGTGTCAAATGATATAATGTGTTTAGATCATAATCAACAATTCAAATTTCAAAATAAAAATTACAAACTAATTTAATCTTTAATATTTTTTTAATTATCGTAAAAAAAATATTGTTAACTATGCAATGACTTTAATTTTAGTTTTTTTTTTACTTTAAGTATGAATATTTCTTTCTATTTTTTTTTTCAATAAAAGTCTTATTGGCCATGCATTCAATAGTTTTAATTTTATTTTGAATCCTCTAAAATTTTTTATACTTATGTTATCTTAATTAATTTAAAAAAAAAAAACTAATAGGTCAAATTATATATTTAAAATTTAACTCTATAATAATATGTAATTAAGGGAGATCAAAATTTTTAATAATAATATGTAATTGATTGATAGCTCAATCCTTGATATTTACATCTATGAGCATGTATGTTATTTATATATAAAATGGTGATAAGATGAAGTTGACACATACAACAACTTTTTCAAAAAATTTCATTTGTATTATTCTATTCTTTTTTTCCCTTGATACATTACTTAAATAATGGTATGACTTTTTGATATTTTACATTAATTTTTTATATTTTATAATAAGCTCTAAAAGGGTGTTGTAAGATTATAATTTTATGAGTATTATTATTTTTTGTGAAATGTTCTTTTATTTTTTATTTAGTATTATATTTTTTAAATATATTTTCCTTGATTATTCAAGTTAGAATTATTAGATTAATCTTAATTATGATTATCTGATTTTTTCTTTTTATTTTAGTTTTGTTTTAGTATTCTTAAATATTTTACTATGAAAATTAATTAATAATTAATCTTTTCTTTTCAATTTTATAGTTACAAAATTTTAATATTAAAACAAAAAGTTATAATGTTAAAAAAAGAATATGAATTATGATAAATTTATTTTATCAACAGTTTAATTTTTTTTATAGACATCTTTGAATGATTTGACTTGATTTATTTATATATAATATATAATTTTTATTTTTTGATTTATTATTAATATTTGGCACTTATGTATTTCTATCTCTTTGATGAATTCATTACTCAATTTGTAATAAAAAATGATTAAAAGTATACTTTTTTCATAATTTTTATTTGATTATTATGTATTTTACTTGTAATGAGTAGGGAGAGAGACTACTCTTTACTTATTTTTATTTATGTTTTATTTTTCATTTTTTATGTGATTCAACATAAAGTTTAACTAATTTGATATTATTTGAACTTATATTAGATTTTCAACTCAAAGTTTATACATATATAATAAATTTTAAATTCTTTCTTTTTCACACATATATAATAAATCTTTGGTTATATTTTTCTCAAACATATATAATAAATCTTTGGTTTAGCATATACTTCAGTTTATTATTTTTTTTCAAATACATATCTTACAATATTTTAAATTATTAAAATTTCAAGTTCCAATGACAATATAATTATTTTATTAAATAAATAATTTTATGACTAAAATATGCATATTTAAATTAATAAAAAGATAAGTAATTATTAAAAGGAATCATGCATTTCCTTTAATACATTTAAAAAGTAAGTGAAATCATGTTGAAATCTTAAATTAATTAAAGTAAATTTGATCACACTTATGAAAAAATATTTAATTTAATTTTTTAAAACTTTTTAATTACATGTAGTATCCATATGATCATAATTGACTCTTAGATATCATTTGGATATATGCATATGTAAATTTTATTGAGTGTTTAATTAAGTATTAAACAATATTATTTATTGAATGTTTGAATATTTTAAAATATTATATTTTTAGATATCATTTGGATATATGCATATGTAAATTTTTTTTGTTAAAAATAATATTTTTATGTATAATTATTAAAAAAAAACTCATGCATAATACAAGCTGCAAACTAATAGTCTTTAAGTTATAATAAAATGTTTAATATTATATCTGAACTTTAAAATTTTAAAATTTGTTATTTGAATTTATAAATATATTGATTAATGTGTTATTTAAATGATTAATTATCTGTTATATGTCACATTTGGAGTTAATCTCATTAGTAGTATTATATTAATTAATAAATTTAAAATTTATATATCATTTTAAAAATTTAATTATTACATTAAACATTTTATTATAATTTAGAAGTTGTTCATAACATTAACTCTTTCTAAAAATAACATGATTTATTTTGAAAATTTTTTTAGCTACAAAAATTAATAATTATTTTATAAAATTTTAAATGAAAATGTGAGACATCAATTTATGAATGAATTTATGTACTAAAAAAATAGATTAAAATATTAAAAAATCTTTAAATTATTTCACTTTTTAAATAAGCATTTATATTTATATTTTATTTTATTTTTGGTAAAAAAAATCTAAATGTAGATAGGTTGTACCTGACAATCTAAGATAAGTGATTACAGATCGTGCATTCGAAATGATGAATCTAACCAATTAAATCAACCACTTATTGATATTTATTATACATAAATAAGTTCTTATCTTTTGATGTATATCCAAATAAATTTTTATTTCAAATGAAGAATTAATTTATGTTAAGAATTTATTTAGATATAAATTAAAGATTACTAGTTTATTTAGATATAAATTAAAAATAAGATCTTATTTAGATATAAATTAAAATTTAAAAATTTATTTGAATGTAATAAAAATATAAAGATTTATTTAAATAGAGTGATAAATTTAAGGGATATTTTGTTATTTTAACAAAAATATATAAAATGAGTTTGTGAAATTTTTATTTTAATTTTATTAAAAAGAAAAGGTGGGAAAGTCAAACAAACAACTTCTAAAGGGTTCAAAGCAAGAACAAACCAAACTCACCCTCTCATTTTGGTGCCTTTTGAGTTCCGTTACTCCCCAAATTTTCTCAAGCAAAAACCAAACCCAAATTCAAAAGCTGTTTTCTTTCTTCTTTCACTTGGCTTAACTCAAAATGCCCAGCCTCAACACCCCGCAGCTCCTTGTCTCCTTCCTCATCTTCCTAGCCACAGCAAATTTCCCCAGCAACATCAAAGCATCAACCAACACCAACGACGTCTATCAGCCCTGTTCCGACACCAAGGTTCAAAAGTCCGATGGCTTCACCTTTGGCATAGCGTTTTCTTCCAGGGACTCTTTCCTCTTCAACCAGTCTCAACAACTTTCCCCCTGTGACCGTCGAATTTCTCTTTCTTCTTTGAACTCTCAACTCGCTGTCTTTAGGCCTAAAGTCGATGAAATCTCCCTCCTCACTATTAATACTTCCAGTTTCTTCCCGGTAATGGTTTTAACTTATCATATTTCTACTTTCCCAGTTTTTGGTTTTGGGTTTTCAGCTCTGATTTTGGATGTGGAATTTGCCTTAAAGTTTCCTCTTTTGGGTTTCAGGCTTTTCGATTCTGGTTAAAGTTCAGTTCTTTAGTTCAGAGACTTTGTGGCTTGAATCTGTAGAAAACAGGAATATGTTTCTTGTTGATATGTGTTAAGTAGTGGAAGTTATTGGCAAATATAAATGGAAAATGAAATATAGTTCATAATTGAATGCAAAAAAAGATATGTGCTTTGACATGTCAAGAAAAGAAAGACTTATGACATCAGGATTGACCAGAAATATAGTTCTTGACACATTACTGGAAAATGAAATTAGTTCATGTTTTGATGCTGAATAGCTTAAGGGGCAATCTGGGTATGTTATTAAGTCAGTATTTGTTATGGCTTCTTATCCGAGAGGAGTTTCAAGAAGAGTATTTGAATTTCTTGTCTAACTCCGATTGTGCCTTCTATTCATGTATGTCTAACTCCCATTTGATATCAAACTTCCTTGGTTTAAAGGTCCAACATGCCTATAATCCTAGCCTTTTCTTCAACAAGCAGCTGGTGTGTATTGGACACTCGGTGGGAACTTTGAGTTACAACTTTTCTGTCAACAATTGAACTCAATTATGGCGGAAAAAGATTAATACTATCATCTATTAGGAACTGAACATATCAACCATGTTTGGAAAAATGAAAGATGCTGTTTCAATTTTTATTGTGGCCTCTTTGATCTGTCATGTTTCCAAAAGCCTTTATTGTTATTACTGTCTTGTGTCTGCATTTTTACATTCTTATTTATGCAACTAAAGTAAGAAGAAAAAGTCGGAACACTGGAATTATCAATTGTCCATCAATTGTAAATATGTTTAAACTTCCCAGGATACTTATGGTGGGTATATGGTAGCATTTGCCGGTCAAAAATATGCTGCAAGATCCATCCCTGCATTTGTTGCAAACAGCACATACATCGTAACTAGTTTTACTCTGGTAAGAACACATAATTCTGGGCCTTGCTCTTTTATGAATGCTTCCTTCATTGATTATTGAGCCAAACAAATTTCTTTCTATGTAGGTTCTTGAGTTTCAGAAAGGTAGGCTACAGAATTTATACTGGAAGAGAGATGGATGTGCTTCGTGCGCAGCCAAATCCAATTTCTTTTGCCTTAACAACCAAGATTGTGCTATCAAAACAACAGACTGCAAAAACCGAGGGGGTTCTGTAGATTGCAGCCTTGGGATACAGCTTGCCTTTTCTGGTACGGACAAGCATCTTGCTGTTCTCAACTCATGGTATGAAGTGGAAAATCTTAGGCAATATTCGCTCTACAGTTTGTATTCAAATCTTCGTGATTCACTTACCAGCCAATACAGCAACTTATTTTAACACTTGTGACATGCAGAATACAGATGATTGAGTTTTATCTTCAGTTGTAATGATGTTTTTAAGTTTTTAGTGTCTTAGCTGCCTTGACCCTCACCCTTAAATTATCAATTATGTTGATGATCTAACCATTGTAGTAAATGCAATTGGATGACCAACATCTTTGTTAAGTATGCACCTATATGATTTTACGTTTAAATGAAGTGTGATTTTGATTCTATCATGTACACAAGTTACAATTTCTAAATCTACTTGTTTTGTTTCTGCCTCTAAACCCTCTACTTCAAGAATCAATGATCTTATAAATTTTCCTAAAGAAATAGCATGACGTATTTCAGCTGCTTCATGATTTTGCAAGTACAATACTTGCAAATGAGAAAGGGGAAAAATCTTGGATTCATGCAGCTTCAAATATTTCTCCATGAAATGGCAACTGTATAGCAGGTTGAAGACGATGAATGCGCCAGAGTCTGCAGCATCCGGAACCCTTTAGACATCAGAGACGTCTCCTAGCACCATCCTCAGTCCCTAACCCAACCCTTTCCCTTTCTTCTCCCCGTTTTCTCTCTGAAATGGTCTTTTTCCATGCTAATGAAATGGGAAGAGCAAGAATTTGGCAGCAGCTTGTATGGTTAAGCCAATCAAGAAGCATGGTTTGTGATGCCAAAGTATAGAGTCGTCTGTTCAAAGGCATTGATGGCATAATCAACGTGGAAATGACCAAGTGGAGACTTGAAGCGAAGACCATATCCAAGTCCAACTCCAGATCCCGGTTTGCCCTGTCTCAAAGCTGGATTTCCTGAAACTCATAAATTAAACCGGCCATAAGAAGAACAAATTCTGGAAAGGCAGTTCCGCTTCACTACTGAATTAGTGATATGGCTTCGATAACAAAAAATACAATAAAAAGATAAAAGTAAAAGGTTTCATTCCTTTCCCATTCTTATTTACTAGATTTACAAGTAATCAATTCCATTCTTGGATATCTTCCATTACATGGCACTTTCAAGGCTCAACTCTTCTCATAAAAATAGCTATTGGCAATGTTATAGTTCACTTGTTCCTAGAATTGCAAGAATTTTTAAGGGAGTAACAATTAGTGGATATAAGCTATGTTCACGTGTTACGTACCTAAGGGGGAGTCTTGAATCCCACATCGAACATAATAGGAAGGTCCCTGGGGTATAAAAGGGTTCACACCATCTCCGCCTTGTGAGGCGCTTTTTGTAGGACAAAACCGTGAGGCCAGGGGGCCAGAGCGGACAATACCTCACAAGGGTGTGAATCGTGGCGGTCAGGCTGATTCGGGACGCCGGAAGGGTGAATGCCCGGGTCCCGGAGCCGTGCGGGTTCGGAGCTTAAGTCTCGACCCGTGACAAGTGGTATCAGAGCCAGCCCTAAACCGTTCGATCCACGCCGAGCGCCTCGAGGGAGGTAGGCAGGGTGGGCCGGCCTCCGTGACGAGGGCGTCACGAGGTTGGGTGCGGGAGAATGTCACGGACCTAAGGGGGAGTCCTGAATCCCACATCGAACATAATAGGAAGGTCCCTGGGGTATAAAAGGGTTAACACCATCTCTGCCTTGTGAGGCGCCTTTTGTAGGACAAAACTGTGAGGCCAGGGGGCCAGAGCGGACAATACCTCACACTATGGTATCCCAGAATCAACTGGATGCGACAGGATAATTGTTCATGATGCAGGTGTCAAAGTGCCAGCAAAAAAGATCATAGAAGTAAAAAACTAGGATGCTTTATCCACGAGCTCGAATATTCAAGATCTGATACATCAATAGCAGAGCTTGACATCTAAAATCAACTACCATCCTAAGGTTCCAGAATAAACCATATAATCAAGTGAAGAAGATAAGAGGGCCAGCAGGCACCTGGCCCAGCTTCCTGGTAGGAATTTCTGGCTGAGCATATTAGTATGATAAAACTAAAAAGAAGCAGATGCTTCATGAGTCATAGAAAGCTGAATCATGCTGTCTTAAACATGTGATGCAGAATGCAACCAGTTGAGAATTAACAGAATGTCAGAAACAAAGTTTAGTGAAAAAGTAGAAGCATAAGATTTGTTTATCATTAAGATACAACTTTGGCAGCTATTTTTAAGTGTCATAAGCAAGTACCAGGTACAAGCCGACCAGAGCCCAAATCAGTTCCGCAGTCTAGGAAAACAGAACCTTCCAACATCTTGCTCTGAATGCAGCAAAAATTATGTAAGGTCATGTAATAAGGTAGACAGATGCAATGACACAATCAAAACTTTTTTTCACCCTTGGTTTGTAATTTGCCCTTTGGGAATTTTGGTGCCTTCCTCAATAGATATAATCAATTCAAATTAATATATTTCAATATTATTCATATATAAACCATTACGTGCTTCAAGTTTAGCATGTACAGGAATTTCATCATTCTATTTTTAATTTAATTTAATGACAAGTTTATCATGCTAGATTTTAAAATAGACATTAGGTATGTAGAAATTAAATTTCCAGGAATGATAATCATTGTAACTGGTGACTGCATGCATATTATTTATTCAGTTTTCAATTTGGTTTGGTTTCATTGAAACCAAAATAATAATTCAGTCTAGTTTAAGCATCAAAAAGAGTAAAAAATTCTTTCCAGTTTATAAACCAACCTAAACTTTTTAATCATACAAACCAAAACCGAATTAGTTGGTTTTGTTTGGCTTTTCTTTTAGACAAAATGTATGCTATATATGTGCTTGAGCATGAACACACACATAGAAGGAAGAAGCAACCCAAAATAATTTAGGTCAAACTATCAAACTGACACAAATCTCTCTCTTAATCTAACAACTATCTTGTGAAGTTAAGAAATTTCAAATGATACATACAGCATTATTGCAGTTAAACATGCCCGGTAAACAGCTATCAGAGATAATAGATGTAGGAAAATACGAAACACAGATTCTTAGAACACAGTGCCTTCTATATAATGACAAAGCAATTACATACCAAAGGAAATGTCAGTTCAGTATTAGCAACCAAACATGATCTTCCAGATCCAACAGCACCTTCGCCATACCCTCGCACGCTACCAAGACCACCAATTGCAAATGCTTGATAAGGAGCCATATCTCCTACAATGGAACCACCTGTCAGGCTGTCAGAGGAAAAGGTAAGAGTGAAGCAAATTTAAAAATGATATAACACCTGATCTAGTTATCTAGTCTAGAGCAGGATTCATGCACTCTTCAAAGTCAAGCCAGGAATTCCAATAATTTTTCTAATTTCAATGCTTTCTATTTACACTTCATGTAGTACAAGTTGGCTTCTTTCCTCTCTTTAGTATTGTTATATGTAGTTCTGTTACATTGCCAAACAAACCTCTCTTAAAGCATCTTTACGTTTCCAATCACAGCTCATTACAAGCTTCCAAACTATCCTCACATTTCTTGCTTCATCTTTCATGCTAACAATTTCTACTTACCATTAATCCCCCTTATACAATCAAGTTTATAACCTTTATGCACAAAGGGAGGGGTGGGGAAAGGTTAAATAAAGGGGAAAAAGAAACAACAGTGCTTGCCTTGTCAAGAAAAAGGCAGGTCCAAGTTTGATGCCCTTTGATGCAACAAATTTGAATCGGTTAAAGATTAACCACTTTGACAGAACAGGAATCCCTTGTTCTATTTGCATAGTAAACTGAAATGAGGAGAAACATCCAGTTAGTGGCCTTATTCAAGATACATGCATGGCATATTTCACTAAGCATGTTGCAGTAGAAATGGGCAAATTACTTGAGAAAAACTGCGATCATTTGCCTTCACATATCGAGATTCTTGCTTTAAGACTACCATACTGTCATGGGCATTGCCACTGCACAATAATTAAATTATTGTCAACAATCAGTTCACCTTATTGTTTGGAATTGGAGCAATACAGGCATCTTTACCTGCAAGTGACGGGAAACCCATCAAGATCTCTGGTAATGGAGCGGCCATCATCACTCAACAGGCGAACATTCTGTAAGGTGCACATTTTACAATAACTACATTCCCTCCCAAGAAAACTAATGATTATAAGGTATGAGTATGATTGTAATAAGCTCTGTCCAAACCTCAAATTTTATACTTGTTGTGCTGCTCCATTTAGAACTTGCGGGTTCATTTAGATCCAATCCAACTGATAATCGAGACAAATTCATGCCGCCACTCCCTGAACGAGAGAAATTGTCTACAGGTATACCATGGACTCCAATCTCAGGTGAAAGTGAGTGCTGGACGAAATTATTATAAATAAGAACTAGATCCACACTCCAACCTCACAATTGGGTTTTAATAAATAAAAATTAAAGCAATCCAAACTATGTTGTAAACTGTACTCCTTGTTTCTTTCTCATCCACAAAAGGTCATGATGGTAACGACTGAACAAGATCAACTACATACCTGCAAGATAAAACATTGTTGAGCAACCCATTGTGGTCGAGGCCTCCGATAAGCTACCAAGATATTTGAATCATATAATCCCTTATCCCACGACACATCAAACTTCTCACTTCCACCAAATAAATTTGGGTGTTTTATGCAAAGACTGCGACAAACACATTGAGCCAGCTGTTGGACTAATAACCAAAATCTAAATTCAATTGCCACCCAATTCAAGAAACCAAAGAAACTATCTCTCCAAAGTCATTTTTTACCCAATTTAATATACTAGAAGAGGTAAAGAGAAATAACAAAATCATACTAAATATCTAATTCAGTATAAAAAAAAAAAAAGAAATTTCTAATCATATCTCCTTTACCCACATTCTGCTACCATCCAAAAATGGCAACTTTATTAAAAATAATGAAGCAAGAGAAAACCAAGTACCAAATTATCAAATTCAAAAAAAATGAAGAAGCAATTAAACTGAAACTACCTTCCAATTACTAGGGAAAGAGGACTGCTAGTGTTCCTGTTAAAAAAAAGAAAGCGAAACAACTCAATTAATCAATGGAACCCATCAGCTAAGATCCCAGAAAGAACAAAAATGAAGGGTGAAAGAGCAATGAAAAATTAAAGCATGAAGTAAGAACCTTAAAGAAGGAAATATCATAGGAGCACATAGCTTGTGGGTGAAATCAACATTGACATCAATCTTGGCTGCCATTACAAAACAAAAGATTAAAAAAAAAAAAACAACAACAGTTAGTATTTTGATTAAGAATAAAGCAACAAATGTGACTGCCACTACAACAAAAAAAGAAGAAAGATTGACCTTTGCCTGCATGGACGCTCTTCTGAGCCCCCATAGAGTTGGAGATGAAAAAAACATTAAGCAAAGAAAAATGGTTGGATATACGGGTCAGACAGTCAGTTAGACAAAGATTGCATTTTGCATGAAATGAAATGAACGAAATTATTGTAAAACAGCAAAGACAAAGAAGAAGAAAAAGAGGAGTCTTGTGTTTTATGTGATGTTTTTGCTTTGGTCCAGGGGGAAAGAAGCCTTTCTTATGTTGTTTTTATCACCTAAAGTTTGAAGTTTGTTATCTCCTTTGCTTCTTCCTTGGTCTTACTTGCACGTGGGGTCTCTTTATTGGGTTTTATCTTTTGTTTTTTTCCTTCTTTTCCTTTGAGCCTTGGGTCTCTTTATGATTCATATCATACCTTTTTCGGCCTTTTCATTGAATTTTTTATTTAAAAAATATATTTAAATAATTATATTTTTTTATAATTAAAAATATTATTAAAATTTTAATATTATATTAATAAATCACATTATTATTATTAACCAAACTTGAAACATTTTTGATAAAGTTACTATACCTTATTTCTATCTGATAAGAGCATGTAGGAATGCAAATTCAAATAGTCTAAATATGAATTTAAATGAAAATTTTAAATTTAACTCAAAAAAATTCAAAATAAATATTTAGAAAATATGTTTTGAAGTGAAAATGAAATAATGGATAGTATTAAAAGGGGAATTATTTAGAGATTATGGTCAAGCCATTGCAATAAAATATATACTTATCAATTATTTCGGATTCCATTTTCCTGTATTTGAATATGAATGGATAAATTTTCCGGTTTGAATTAACCCTGCCAACTTTAAACATGCATAATAATTTAAAAGCTTTCTTTTTTTTTTTTTTATCAAAGATAATTTAAGAGGTCCGTCATTAATTTTGCTATGATTTAAACAAAGAATATATATATATATATATATATCAGTCAAATCAGAAGGTTTGATGCCAATTTTTTTTTTATTTATTTAAAAGAGGATAACGTGGATGGCTTGATTCGAATTTAAATTTTAATATTTTTTTTAGAGTTTTTTTGTCGTTAGACCAAGAAGCGGAGTACAAAGGTTTAACACCATTTAAATTGGCAAGTTGCTACTTGACGCATCGTTTAGGTATTATTTTGCTTTGCTTTTATGTTAAATTTTTTTTTAAATAATTACTTTATGCTAATTTATTTTAGTGAAAACATAAAGTTAATTAGCCAATGTAGTAATTAGAATCAATAATAGGTCGAGTTGAGGTGATTTTTTAATTTTTTTGAATCCAATTCGATTTGAAATTTTTTTTATTATTTATATCAAAATCTAATCGAAATCGATTTTATATAAAACGTATTCGATCCGATTTGAAATTAATAAAATATTTTTTAAAATATAAAATATTATTTTTTAAATATAAATATATATATTAAAAATTTAAAAATAATTTAAAAATCAATTTTTTATATAATATCAGGTTGAATTTGTCTAAAACGTGAATCCAATTTTTTTTACTAATATTCGATATGATCTGAAACTTGATTTAAAAAAATAATCTTAAAAATTAAGTCAAATTAAAATCCATCGATTACACGTCGATTGCTAACCTTAATAATAATTAAGATTTTCTAGACAAAATGGGGAAAAGTCCCATGCTATCAATTGCAGAATACAATTATCTTGCTGTACAGATTCTGATGAGCTTTGGCAATCGAGGGAATCCCATTATCAGTTTCTTATCAACCAAACAGCCCGTTAGTTGCTTCTTATTCATCATGATGGATGTTCTCTATGACTTAAAGGCTAACAAAAAAATTGTCCGACAACATTTCCAATCTCCACTACAAGAACAAGTTTTGCACAATTCCAATCTCTACCTGTCCTGAGTGATCTAATAAGCTTGGCAGTAAGTGACTTTAGATTCTTATCAACTGACAACCTTATTTTTTGGTAGGAAAAAGTTTAGGGGGGGCGGGGGAAAGCTACTTCATTCCAGGATTAGGGTAAACTGCAAGTGTCAAAGAAAATTAATATTAAATTTATAGATCGCAGGTCAACTAAGACTGTTGATAGCAAAAATCATACCTAAATCTTATCACAACTGCCTTTATTTATTTATTTATTTTGATACATTGAAGATCATATCTTGAGAATTGTAGAAGAATCCAAGTGCTGAAATTCTAACTCTAAACACGATGAACATCATTTTTTAAAAATAATTATATGAATAAATTAAATTAAAATTTGATTCTAATCAATTTTATTTTTATTTTTCTTTGTTTTAGATATTTTCATTACCGCTCCGTTTATTTGATAGAAAATAGTTTTAAAAAAATGATTTTTGAAAAATTTTTATATTTTTTAAAGTAAAAGAGATTTTTTATTGTTTGAATGAGTTAAAGAAAAATAATTATATTTCAAAAATAATATTTAATATTAAAATATTATATTAATATAATACTTAAAATAAAACTATTTATTATTCTTTATATTATTTATTAATATATTATATATTATTTATTAATAAATTATATTAATAGTAGATTATTTATTAATAATACTATTATAAATTTATTAATTAAAATAATAAAATTTATTATCAGATTATTATATTAATATAATATTTATTTATTAATAAATTATAATATTATTTATTAATAGTATATTATTTATGAATATATTTTTATAATATTTATTATTATATTATTTATTAATATAATATTATTGTTTACTAATATAATATTATTTATAAGTAGAATTATATTAAAAAATACTAATAAATAGTTTTACTTATAGACGGTTTTTTTTTAAAAATATTTTTTTATTTTCAAATCCGTAAGATAATTTTTAAAAAATGACTTCATTTTCTATTGACTAAGAAGAAATTTTTTGTTAAACAGCCAGTTTTTTGCATTTTTAGGTATTTGTTTGGCGAAAAACTAGTTAGTCAATGGAAAATGACTTCCTTATCAATAGAAAATGAGATCATTTTTCTGAAAATTATTTTATGCATTTGAAAAGGGGAAGACATTTTTTGAAAAAAAAAATTGTTTATGAGTAGAATTATTTATCAATACTTTTAAACAATTTTACTTATAAATAATATTATATTAATAAATAATATTATATAAATAATATATTATTAATATAGTATATTAATAAATAATATTATAATATATTCATAAATAATATTATAAATCATATATTAAAAATAATATTATATTAATAAATAATATAATAAAAATATTATTAATATAATATATTAATAAATATTATTAATAAATAATATTATTCTATATTAATAAGTAATACAAAGAAAAATAAATAATTTTATTTTAAGTATTTTTATATTAACATAATATTTTAATATTATATATTATTATTAAAATATAATTATTTTTTAATTTTAATAATTTTAATAATAAATAAATTCAATATTTTTTAATAATAAATCATTTTTAATATTATTAAAAAAAATAAAAATTTCAAAAAACAATTAAAAATGAAAAACATTTTTCATAACTCATCCAAATAATAAAAAAAATTTTCAATTAAAAAACATAACTATTTTTCAAAAATTATCTTTTAAAAATTATTTTCTACGAAACAAACCAAACCTAAATTTTAAAAAATCAATCAAACAACCGTATCTTTTCCACTTGATCCGGTAGCAAGATACGTAGAATCTAGATATGGAGCAAACTCATACATAGAGATCCTCATTTGGATTTTGTTCAAGTGATAAAAAGATGGCTTTCTACTTTGTCTTTTTTCTATGTTCTCTTTATTAGTGCAGTTAGACTGATTTAATTTCTGAAGTGATGCTCAACTATATAAGAAAAGTAATACGCCCCTTTATTTAAAATATTTATCATTTTTATAAAATTAAAAAATAAAATTTGATTTTAATATGCTTAATATCAAAGCTTATTTTTTTTAATAAAATTAAAGTGCCATGATTTTTAATGTGAGAAAATAAAGAATTCATAAAAATAATTTTAAAATATAAAAAAAGAGTTTTAGATATTAAAAAAAAAAGACATAATTTTGAAATATTCAAAAAAAATGGAAAAAAAAAAGGGATAGAGGGAGTACTATCAATATAATTTAGACAATTTCTCTATTACATGCCAATATGGCATAAATATCAAATCAACCCAAATTTGTTAAACCACATGCCAAGATATCCAAGATTCTATATGTACCAGGATGTTTTGCTCCCATTCTCAAATCCAAAAGAACAATTTCATGAAAAAAATAACAACGATATCAGCAAAGCACATGTAGAGGAAAATTGTAGTTTTCTCTTTCTCTATCAGTCTCAAACTCTCAATCATCCACAAAGGTGATGGAAGCCAAAATTTGGCATTTCATACCTGTATATGCAAGTATATATGTTCGAATCCACGTATATAGAAAAACCAGAAAAAATGAAAAAAAAAAAAAAAGAAATTCTCAACAAATCAACCACTAAAGCAGTGAGCAAGCAACTCTAATTTATATAAACTAAAGCTACCTCCCTGGCATTGGAAGCTACCTCTTGCAAAGAATCACTCTTTCTTTTCCTTGTTTCCTTCTCTATTTCCATTGAGATATGCCATGGATCTCAGACTTTGCCCAATCGACCTTTCCTTCGATATCCCTCACTTCCCGTTCAGATTCTTCAAGCATATTTTCAAATAAAGCTGATTCATCCGCGGTTATCGTTTTAGCATAGGAAAGACCTGAGGTAGACAGCACTAACCTCAAACGGAAGATTACGTTAAGAACTAGATCCATCAAATCGTTCAATTTCATTTTGTTATGAAACCTTCTGCTGTCACTTCCAGAAAATGTTGTTATCCTGATCACCATGTTCTTCAACTCCCTTGGATTTTTCATCATGTTAATGATCTTATAGACTGTAATGGGTAGCATCCTATTATTTTTTTGCATCAGATTTTCCATCGTAGCCCTGTACTCTTGGAAAACGGCTTCTGCTCTTTGATTGCCTGATAACATATGATAAAGTTCATAGATGAGGTCAAACAAGACAGATTCAATATGGAAAATCCAATTCCTTATCACTCTCAGAAATGCTATTCTTAGGCTGTCTTTATCTTCATTATCACTATCCTTCAGATCAAGTTCTTGCTTTTTGTATATTTTCTTTGTCAACTCCTCAAATTTCCGTTTCAGTTTTTTGACCCTAAT